GCTGAATTAGGAGGTTGTTTCCAGCTGTTCATACAAACTGGAAAAAGTTATGAAAAATTGAAAGACTTTTTCAATATTTTCTAAAAATAAAGTGCTTCATTTTTTCATTTTAAAACAACAATCTGAGATTAAATTTAATCTAATTTATTTTAACAGTTAAGATCTTAATTTGGGGTAGACCCAAATTGTAACGGTTTGGGTTTTGTTTGCTTTTTTACCTCGAGCACTGAAAACATCCATTTATTACATAAATCTAACTCTGTTCTCACTCTGAAGACCTCAGCAGCATTAAACAGGTTTCAAGATATGACCAGAACATTGCTAAGTGCAACTTGGTGCATTTCTGCTGCCATAACTGGATTTCCAGGATGTCTCATCAAACCTGATACCTTTAAATGGGGTAGCTGGATAAGTCTTGGGTGAGGAGACATTCTGGATTCTTGACCTGAGGTGTAGTCTGATAAATTGCATTCAGTCAACTAAGAAAGTTAGTCATCTGACCGCAGCTACAGAGGCAGAGATGCAAGTGAGTGGAGGTTCTGGCACAGCTCTTCAACTGCTAGTAAGCTGAAACAGCAGCAAGCAGTTTAAGCTGGGATGACGACAAGGAAACAGTGTGGCAAGGTCTAAGTAGAAATTTCTCTCAAAAGCAGGTAAAAACCTGTGAAAATGTAATTGAAAATACTACTGTCCACTTAAAAAGCATCCTATCAAGATCACACCCACATATAGATCTAAATGTATTTATTATTGTCCTAATGACCTGCAGGGTATTTGTAATATGAAAATGCTTAAAGATAAGGTTAGAAAGTAATTGATAAGCAGGTTGTCATTGTCTTTTTTATTACTATGAGACATGTGCAGGCAGCAAAACAGAACATTAGATGGGCATCCTGATTACTGTATTAGAAAATATTACTAGAAATATATACTTAATTTAAAATAAGTGGTTGTAGAAACAACCCTGAAGGCTAAGAAAAATATTTCAAAAAAATATTTCAAAACATGTATCATCTCAGTTTCAAGAAATGGGTTCCTATTTGTGTTGTGGCAGATAAACATGCTTTTTTTTAATAGGTCAGCTCATCTGGTTTTGTACCAGGCTAAACAGTGAGAAGTAAGCAAACGGTTATTTCTTCAAATTAGAAGATTACCTTTGGTTACACCAATGATTGATGTAGAATACAGAGAAGGTGCTGCCTCTGCAGGGTCAAGTCTACTTGAGACACTTTTTGAGTCTGTCATTGTATTGACAGACTCTGGACAGGCTGCTGAGATGACAGACTGGATGTACCCAGTAAGCAGGTGCTTGTGGTAGAATTCTTACTGTAAGTAGCAGGAGTCCTCCAGTATTTGGTAGCTGTATTACTACGGAAGATTAAGACCTAGGATTAGTCTTTCCCAGGCCCAAAAGAATCCCAAGATTTTTGCTTTGTTAGCACTTCTCATATTTCCCTCTTTGACCCAAAGTTTTTCTTCTCTACCATTCTAGGGATGGAGGCTATGAAACTTCTCCTTCTCTTGGAAAATACTGTGGTACAGACCTGCCTCCTGTTATAATCTCTCACAGTAACAAGCTGTGGATAAAGTTTGTAAGTGATGTATTTGGCACAAGAAGGGGATTTTCAGCTGAGTGGGATGGTACATCTGCAGGTAAAATGATCGCATCAAGTATAAAACCATTTTACATCTCTCATTTTTGATCTCTCATTTGTATTTTTCACCTTTTTCCCCACATCTTTTCTGCTTCCCAGCTTCTAAAATCTGTCTGCTGATTATATAGCAACGTATGTTTACGTTATTAAGATCAAGGTTACAACTTTTTTGATCCTTGGGATTTCTTTTTCTCCATAGGGAAGGATATATACTATTCCCTAGATATAATGTAGCATCAGCTTTCTGGTATGTAACCAAGAATTTAATGGAGAGGTTTCTATTTGAAGAATAACTATAAGAAGCACTCTTCAAATTAGATAGTTAATATTTCTAGCTCTCTTCTGCTTGCAACACCATTGGCTAAATGCAGATTTTTGAGGCACCACTGAAGATGTTTAGAGTGTGTGAAGGAGGTCAGTAATGTGAGTCTCACACACCATGTCTAATTCTCTACTCTTCTAGGTGTTAAACGTTGATTTGGTTTCTTTGCCATTTTCAGGTTGTGGTGGAACTTTGATGACAGCTTCTGGTATCTTCATGTCTCCCAACTACCCTATGCCGTATTACCACAATTCAGAGTGTTACTGGTTGCTCAGAGGAAATCGAGGATCCCCATTCGAAATCCAGTTTGAACAGTTCCATCTAGAATATCACCCAAAGTGCAACTTCGATTATCTTGCGGTACGTACCCTGTGACACTTGGCTCCATAGGAGGCAGCTGAGTACGATGAGCGCACTGGTAAGGTAAAGCACATGGCCCTGGTCTTCAAATGCTCATAAGTGAACAGATCCATAATAAGAAGGCTTCATGCTGACATGCTACCTTCATATCACAGAGAAGTGAGAGGTAAGGCAGCGGCGTCTGTGTAGCTGCTGGTAAGAAAAGCATTTATGTCTAGATAACAAGGCCACTGAAACAAAATTCTATATATATCTTTTAAATTTGCTGTGTTTTGGACCAAGGCCTTAGTATGCTCTCTTAGCCAATTCCAAGGGAAAATGGCACAACAGTGTCAATAACCCTACTGTTAATTCCAAATTTTATATTTGAATTGTTGCATAAATTATTTGAATATTTTTAATAGAGCTGAAATGCAGTTTTCCCCTCTACTCAAAATCCACCAGTATTTGTCTTCCTGTTTTTCCACTGATTTGCTTTTTTTCTGAAATGCCTGCCAGGCTTCCTCGGAGCAGAAATAGAATTTAACCTCTTGTATACCCAGTAACAGTTCCTTAACCAGACATTTGTCAGGGGGAAGTTACTTCGATTTGTAATGCCATCAGCTTTATTAATTTTTATTTATTTTTTTTAAGGTATATGATGGCAACAGCAGTCATGCTAAACAGCTAGGTAAATTTTGTGGGGATCAGATACCACAACTCATCCATTCCAGTGGAGACAGCGTGTATGTAAAACTAAGGACAGATAGCAGTCTGCGAGGTGGAGGTTTTCTGGCTAAATACAAACAGGGTAAGTAAGTAAAAGAAGATGAGAAGAACATGTTTCTACAATTCAGCTTGTTCCTGAAACTGCTTCTTGCAGCCCATGATCTTACCTATTCATGAGCAGAGGACAATGTATAGAGCATATTATTGACCCAGATTTTCTAGTCTGCTGCACTTGCAGAACACAGAGCGCTAAAAATTACCTGCCGATCTTCCTGTGATGGAGATTATCTCCTCCCCAGAAGAAAGCTTGTGAGGTGGCTCTGATTCTATTACCTTCACCAGTGGCACTTACCACTCCAGATTTACTCAGAATAACAAGTGCTGGAAGTCCATAACAAGGGAGATTGGACTGTCCATGTTCTGCCCACCTAGTCTTCTGACTTTTTTAACAGAGAAGGCAGACAAGAAGCTTCTCTGCTCTTCTAGCTGCTTGTGAGGCAGGATGACAAAGGCTGAGTTACCCTCAGCCATTCTGGATCATTGTGAGTGCCTAGAATCATGTTGCCTACCTGGAACACTTCAAAGTTTCATTTCTTGTATCTTATGGTAAGGGTCACATTTTTCTTGCAAACATTTTTTTGTGAAATTATTCTGCCCTAGAAATGTGAGAATAATGACATTTGGAGAAAAATCCAAGAAGATACATGACTAATTAAAGTTATTTCGTTCCCAGTCATAAGCTTGAATGTTATCCCAGTGCTTACTGTTCTCCTTATACACTCTAGAATATATGGTTAAATGCACATTGGAAAATACAGAATTTCATCACATACAAAATGATTTGCAAGCATCTTTGTGTACCCTAAATATGACATGTCCAATTGAAAGAGATTGCTGTAGGTTTATAGATATTAACTTTTCCTAGGCTTGGACGATAGTAAATGGATTACAAAAAAAGCCATTATGGCACATGTATGGCTTTTGTGGCATAGCATGTGGCATATACAACAATTAGAAGAGTCAAGGAGCTTCGACTCCCTCATTCCTTATCACAGATTCATCTACCATGTACTTTTCAAACTGTGAATTCAAGATGATATATTAGGAAAGAGCTCTCCTTCCTTTCATTAATTAAACAGAAAGAGCACTTTCAAGGCACTCAGATGTAGAAACTGAGCTATCAGATAATGTGGTCTACACTTTACATTCATATTTAATTCCCGAACAGGCATTGGAGGAAGCTTTCAGTGGCTTGCCCAAAAGCTAAAATTATGTAGGAAGTAGTGATATAAAATAAGAATGCTTAGATGCCAGGTGCATTTACATGTACATGAAAGAAACGTAATGATGCATTGCAAAGGAAAACATGCTATCAAGTTAACATTCAAAGGCACCTTTGTGTCTGATATGTTTCTAATAAAATCCTGATGGCACAGAGTAGCAGCTTTTACCCATATTGTGTTCTTCAAAATCCTTTTTGTCCTCTTCATCCTGTCCTTTCAAACAGTTGTATGCTTCAGTCTAACTTTGCAGACAAGCTTCACTCCACCTGACCCTAACCTTCAGCTGTACCCTAAGTATTTTGAAGTCCTAAAAACACAGACCTTGCTGCGCTGTAAATCACTTGGAAAGAAGAAAAAAAAAAAAATTTGCAGGATGTAGGTGTATTATCCCTAGTGATAGACAACAGAAGAGTTTTGCAAGTGTAACAGCTGTTTCTGCTGTTCAGACACTGCAGTTTTGCTGTACAAAGCAAACAGCCTGTCCTGCTCCCCGCCTTCTGCCCACTTCTTCTCTGTGCATTACACTGGTCTGCTCCCGATACACGTTGTATGCTGTCTCCAGACAAGAGATTGCCCACATTTATATTTTCTGTCTTTAGTGAAAGTTGGATGGGGGAAAATGAGACTGATCTAATGCCATAATTATAATTTCACTCTTTATCTAGTTTAGTTTCTTTTTTCATTTTCTCTGCACTTCAAGGGAAGCTGTCATTATTCCAGGTGAGCATCCAGTATACTTTCAATTTGTTGTTTTAGCCAGGGATCATATTTTTTTTCAGTTTGCTGAAATAAACCACGTTAATCCATTAGTCAATCTTTGTTGAGCACCCTCCCCAAATAGTTTCAAATGACAGGGCAAATTTCTGTTATTAGTTAAAAAAAAAAATAAACCTAAGAAAACATGTTTCAGGAATAACCATGTGTTTAGAATTAAAGAAAATTGCCAAAAAATAAATGTACTACATATACCTATGAGTCTACAAGTTTCAGAAGAGAAGGACATAATAGAGTTGAAAGATTCAAGTTTGGAAAGTGGATTTTTTTTTGCTACATGTGCAATATGTTCTTCAGTAGGTCACAGTTCTCTTTCTTCATGATTTCTCTAATCTGTGAATAAAAATATTTCTCACCTCATAATGCTATCAGGAACTTCAATTAATAATTTTTGAGATACTGGGTTAATAAGCACTGTACAAATATAATTTATTATCACTTTTTTTTTCAGTTTGCCATGAAGTATTGACTGTTAATCATAGCCATGGCATATTGGAAAGTTTAAATTATCCAAATAATTACCCATTAAATGAGCACTGCAACTGGACTATTCAAACTACAAAGGGGAACACACTCAACTATAGCTTCACAGCCTTTGATTTAGAAGATGGACCTGACTGTGACCGTGACTTCTTGAAGGTATGTATCCAGATTCTAGAAACAAGAAAAATCAGGTCTTCTTCAATAAAGAAAAACAGTAAGAATGCAAAAGACCAAGGGGAAATATGTCTTATCTAAATTTAGCCATTAAAACTCAAGTGTTAAGTCCAAATGATTTGTCGCTGTTTCCTCCATGATTAGTAGGGAGTGAAGCATTGCCAGAGAGCACTTCATGCTACCTTAAGACAGGTGTCTGCAATAGGGAAAATGAATCACTTCCAGATGCCTGGAATTGCCACAGAGAGTCTAGTTACCACCTTAGGTTAGATGCACTGACTTTTATGAGTGAAGTGAGATGTCATTATTTCGGCTTCATGTAAAGAAGAAGAAATCCTGAGATTAGTAAATTGATCGCAAAAAGGAAATGAGACCTATTATTTTCCTCTTGTTTCTATTTGACAAAGAGTGGAGAATGTTCAAAAACTTTAAAATGTGTTATTTCTATGTTTTTAAAGGGAGAGTTGCTATGTCTCCTGTTTATATTTTCCTTTTCATAATTAATCTGCTTCTTTGAAGGGATGGAAAGAAACTGAATTTACCCAAAAACAAAATGAGAAAGTTTTAGCCAAATAAAACCATCCAGTCAATCTAAAGCCAAGTACCCTTTATTTTCATTTCCTCAAAAATTTTGTTTCTAGGACAACTGAAAAGATATTTTCTCTGCTTTGTATTTCAAACTCTGGGAAGTAGAGTGTAGTCATGATCACAGCTATACTGAGGGCTATGATCTTGTGCCTTCGATTTTGCTGTTTTGCTGAACTAATCCATCCTTCAGATCGCACCCTTGTACAGGACATCAGCACATAGCCCCTGTGCTGTACTTAAGTTTTGCACAAGAGGTATTTAAATTTAGAGAAGTGTTAGAGAAGACTACTTACAGCCAAGGAGAAGGCTAAGGAGTAGTGCCCAGATTTCTGGGCATACTTACACTGAGGTCTTGCAGAACATCCAGCAAGAGGCCTGGTGGTGGGCTAATCTGTTCCCTCTAGATATCCTCCTTCACTCCCTCTACCTTCTTACTCTGCCAGCTTTCACAGCTCAAAATTGGTAATAAACTGGCAAAAGTGGTGTTCTTCCAGCTTTCTGCTCTTTGTGGCCAGGAATGGAAAGAAAGAATAGACATGAGAAGGAAATAAACAAGGGTGCACTGTATTAAGAACTAACTAATAAACCCTGGTTCATTTTTGTGAGGAGGCTGAAAAGGAAACATTGGAGCCAAGTAAAGAGGCCAGTGCTAGTCTCAAGATGCCTAAGCCCTTCATCCATGAAAAGCAGGAGCACTGCACACAGTAGCCAGCCAGTAAGGAGCAAAAGTCTTGCCAGAAGACGCTATTCTAGACGTCAGTGACAGCTGGAGGAATAGTGCCAGAGGCACGGACCTGATCCAAAGCACTTAAAAGAACAGAAATAAAACATATCAGAGGGAGTGAGGAGACAGGGAGCAAAAAAGTACTTGCAATCTTTGTTTTAATAATTTTTGTGCTTCCAATCAAAGAAAATACAGGCTGAAAGAGGTATAAAGAAAATGCAAGGGAAAAACAGAATCATGGAAGCGTGTTAAGGAGACTTTAATTTGCAATTCATGTGACATTACTTACAAATCTTTCTCCAAATGCCATTAAGAAATACCACTTGGAAAAGATGTTCTCATTTGGTTGTTGCATGCTGCATAAATATGTGCCATAGTGTAAAAAAAGAGTACAAGGTTGAACCAGCGAGGGAACTGAATAGCGTTTGCTCCCACCCTGCGTCTTGCAAAAGGGGAGCATGTTGGCAAGGCTGTGAGTACTCTGCGATGTAGGGGAAAGGGGGAATCATTTGGAACAAGTGTGCAGTTCACTTTCTAAGCAGACTGCAGATATTTAGGACTTTTCTGTCTGAAATCCATGTGGAGTCTGCCGCCACTGCAAATTAGAAAAAAGGTTAAGGAAAAAAAAGACTCATAGCTGTTCAGCTAAGATAAATTACTTTTCTGACACATGCTAGTTTTGAGATTCTTTCATTGCAAAGAGGCCTCAAAGGGGAAAACTCTTATGCTCTGTCTGAGTATAACACTGGGAAAATAGAGGCATAATCCTGTTCACTGTAGTCCAAATGAGTGGTGCGTGGATCATGTGCCACAGCCCTTCTCCGTTTTCTTGGAGGGAACAGGGAGCTTTTGCTCAGACAGTTTCCGTGTAGCTGCACTCACAAACCGGAGTGGCCACTGGGCTGATCAGTGCTCTTTTCTGCAGGAGATTTATCTGCCCCTTCTCCCATCTCTTTCTGGGTTTGATGGCAGTGGCTCTCCCACCTCAGTCCCTTGCAGCAGGCAGCAACACCCTACTTGTCTTCTTAGCTCTGTGGCAGCCCTGACAGTAGCAGCCTGGTGCTCCATGGCAGCTAGCAGATGGCAGGCTTGGTGACAATATTTGCTGCCACTTACTGGGAGCCTGAAGATGAGAAGGACAAGATTTATCTTTAGATTGGATAAGGTGATGATCACAGTTGTAGTGGTAGAGGGAGTAAAAGAAAGTGACATGTGATGGAGAAGGACAAGACTAAATGTTCCGGAGGTGTTATAGCGGAGAGCTGACCTGCCTGAGCAGAGTACAATCAAGAAATGGCAGTTGCAAAAAAAAACGAACAAAACAAACAAACCAAAAACCACAGAATAACAGAGCTGCTTTTTAAAGTCAGTGGGAGAAAGAGATTTAATGCATGTGGACATATTTTTATGACATTGCAAATGTCTTAAACTAGAGCTCTGATTTTTTTTGAAATCTTTCTGAATTCTGAAGGAGAAAATCATGGTGATTGCTGGGGTGGGGACAGTTAGACTGGGCAAACTGCGTTCATGAGTACTGCTGGACCTGGCCTGCTGGACACTGTGGTTTTGGTCCCAGTCTCAATACTGGAAAAGGGCCTATTCTTCAGCTTCATGTTTAATTATGATTTACACTTCTGACCCAAACCCACATGGAAGAAGAAGAAGAGCATTTTGCTTCTTGACTAATTCAGTCTGATATACATAGAATATATTAATTTGCTATTTGCTCCCTGGCTTAGTCCACATGTGAGTCAGAAATTAAATATGTGGAATTATGACAAAACCAAAAGTTCCTACACACAAGTGTTCCTAGTAGTTGTCAGTTACCAAAGGTATTATCATCACTTAGTGCAAATAAATATTTCAAATACAGGGGAAGGAAAAAAATAGTCAGACATCCAAAGAGTAAATGCAAATATAGTGCGTGGCTGTCCCAGACTTAAATGCAGTCACAGCTGCACAATGAGAAGTCAGCGATGTATTGCATTACCTATTTCCTTTTCTCCTTTGATCATGAGATGCTTCTTGTGTGCCAGACCGCAGTTTGCAGCAGCTGGCTGGTGTTACTCATGGTGAGCAGCATTCCTTCTCTGCAGGGATCCTTGAGTGACTCTGACTTGGTCTGGCCTGGGCAGGACCTGCATCTCCATCGCTTCAGCACATAAAAATATTTATACCTGTGTCAGGTAGGAAGGAAAAAGCCCTGTTGTTCTGACTTGGTGACAATTTTCTCCTCCTGAGCATACATGCTAGAAATTGAGACGGGGCAGTGTGGGAGAGAGGCAAAACTGCGTTTTTTATAGTGTCAGTCTCTAGCATGAATCTCATATGAACACTTCCTCAGCAAATGGGCAGTGTGCAGTGTTTCATGTCCTGTCAGAGGATGTTGGCTCATTGCTGGTAATGCTTACAGGACATATGACATTTTGGAAGGAGTTTTACAGTGACGTTTCAAGAATATGAGATGAATTGCTTGTGATAAAGACATGTACAGAAGTGGTAAAGATATGATGCAGGCATACCAAATAGCAGACTCTTTCCTAATGAGGCTGCACTAACTGTAATTAGATTGGATGGTCTTTAAATTCTGTTGTGTGCTGTGGCTTGGCTTAATATCCTAACATTAGTCTTTCTAGAGGAGTCATCAGGCTGTAGCCACTGAGATATTGCAGACAATGACATAGAAATATCATTCCTTCCTCTGCATTCACCAGTTTATTAGCTGAACAAGCATATATTTAACTCCCCATCTTTAATGATGAATTACCTTCTTATTTAGTATGACAGAACATAATCTCTACAGAGGCAAAGCTATTTTATAAGTAAGGAGAATGTCATGTTATTGCCCTGAATATCAGAGTCTTGTAGTAGGACTGAAATTTACTCCTTTCTTATCCAGGAAATATATCATTTGAAAGCCACTAATCTTTCTGTCCTTCAGTGACAATCTCCCTCTATGTTCTTCTGCTCAGAAAGTACAACCATCCCTTTGAAGTCCAGTCTGTTTAGCACTTGCTTTTAATAAGTACAGGGAAGATCTTGCCCAGCCTTTTGCAAGATGTCACCATCCTGATAAGCAGATAGTAAAATTGTGTTAAGCAGCAAGACAAGTTTCATCTTACGGGGGCAAATGACTGCCTGATAACAACAGCAGCCTTCCTTCTGCTGCAGAGCAGGAGAGAGTTCCTCTTTGGAATAAAGCACTTCCTTGTTTGCTTACTGTCAGTGTACTTAAGTAGTCCGGACTCTTTCAGCAGCTAGGCTCAGGGTGGTTAAAATACCATTGCACCCTTATATATGAATATTATCAAATGAATACAGTAATTAATATCACATCTGCTCCTGAGAACTCTTTCATTTCCTTCTGGTGGTAACAGGATATGTCTTTTTTTTTTTTTTTCTGTTTTAAACCACAGTAGCATTCCAGGGATGTGCCATAATATCCTTTTTCTCCATCTGGGAATATTGCATTAGATAATTGTCACTTGCACTCAGCTGTTCATCTTTTTTGTATTAGCTTATCATAGGGGAAAAAAAAGCTTACCGTGTATAGTTTTACTCTCTTCTGTAGTTGTAATTTGTAAATATGCTTATACCATATTAGGAAATTAACATAATTGCATTTTATTTTTGAGTGTGTCTTTTTAAAGTGCTGCAGGAATTCTCCAAG